GATTTCGGAAATGCTAGTACTTAAAATAACTCTATAATCGAAGATAGTATTATTATTAAATTTTTAATTATTTAGGATACTAAATAATTAATAAACGTACTCTAGGGTACGGTTAATAAGGCTAAAGAAGCTAATATAGTCTTATTATTATTACTAACCTTTAAAATAACCCCTTTACGTAAGCTCGGGAGTAAGAGTAAAAAAGGGGATATAATAACTAGGTTATAAATAGCTCTGCGCAGTTTATAATCCTCTCTATAAGCGCTTATATATATTATAGAGGTTCTTAAGCTTTTAATTTTTAATAGCTCTTAATAAAACGCTAGAGTACGCAGTAAATAAAGTACTAATTATAAAAAAATAATTCTTAATACTAAAGTTAACGTTAATAAGGAACCCTTATAATAAACTTTTATTATTATATAAGAATAGAGCTTATAAAAACTACTTTATTAAGTACTAAGTAAAGCTCTATTAAGTCCTAAACGCTTAAACCGGGCCCGCAAACTTCTATAACGCTTTAATAATAATATTTTTATAACGCTCTTATATTTAAATATAAAAAACGGTAATTACTATAACCGTCTCTAGGACTACTTTTTTTTTATTTTTATACTTAATTAATAAAAAGCTATAAAAGAAAATAGTATAGGATATATAATACTTTATTAAGTAATAAAAAAAGTAGTTTATAGGACCTACTTAGAGCGCTCTAGAGGAGTTTAGAAACTACGACTTACTAAAATTAACTTCTAGAGCCTACTAAAAAAGTTTAGTAATATTAAATATCTCCTACTGTAACTATAAAAGCTACTTAAGGATATTATAAATATAGAAATAAAAAAGCTAAGGGATATTAGTATATAAAAAGAGGTCGACTATAATCCTAAATAAGGGATCTTATTTTTATTAAAATAGGTATATACTTATAAGTATAATATTAATAATAAAGTTAGCGAGGTAAAGGTACGTATATATATAAGGGGGGATATATAACTACTTAACCCCTTATAAAATACGTACGCTTCGACGCTCGTTATAAAAGCCTTTAGGCTTATAATAGTAATAACTACCTAATTTAACTTTAAAATAGACTAATATAATATTATTAACGTATTCCTTAATGCGCTTCTTAAGAGCGAGAAGTTAGTAATTATTAAATTCCTAGAGGGATATAAAGTTATTAATAAAGTAAGTAAACTTTAACGCGCTCTATATAGCTTCTAAGACTTATTAATTCTTTAGTTCTAAACTTTTACCTTTATACTTCGTAATATAAATATAATATATAGTTATAAGGAGATTTATATTTACTAAACTATAGATAGAAAAGTAATATTAGTATTCTATATCGATAACTTTATTATTTTATATTATTAAAACGACTAAAAAGCGGCTTAGGGGATTGTTAATAATATAAAAGAATATATTAATTTTAAAAAGAATAGACTAATTAATTATTTTTTTAGAGTACGGATTTTATAAAACTATATTACTTATAAAGTTTACTTTATTTATAATATATATATTAAGCGAGTTATTAAGCACTTTAATTTTATAAATTTACTATATTTAGCTACCCCTCTTCTTTAAGAAGAGTTTAAACTAAATAAGGGGTAGGTAATAAAAGAGAAAATAAAAAGCTATTAAGAAAAGGTTAGGAATATGCTTTATATAACTATTATAATTAAACTAGATATTACTTTTACTTACTTATAATTATTACGGTTCTTAACTAACCTAAGCGCAACTTATATTAAAATAATTAACTATTATATCTAATATCTCTATATAATAAGATATTTTACGCTCTACTATAGTAGTATACCGAGTACGTAATTATTATTTCTAGTTAGAGATATTAGCTTTATAAATAACGAAATAATACGACGATTATTTTAGGGATATATAATATTCTTTTTTAGCGGCTTAATTTAATAAAAATTAATACGCTAGGTAACGGTTACGACGTTAATTACTAAAGCTAAGCTTCTTTATTTTAAAGAAACTATAAAAAAGACTATAGCTCTAAAGCGCCTTTTTAAAGATATTACCCTTAACTTAGGAAAAGTATAGTTAGTTAATTACGATAATTAGTAAATAATTCGACTCGTTATAAAAAAAGGAGAAAGAATAGTTACTTAATTTTACTATATCGATATATAAAATATATAGCTAAGATAAGAGCACGCTAGAAGTAGCTTCGAAGTTATTTATATATTAATAAAAGATATACTAATAAATAGACTTACTAAAAACTTTTTACGAACTAAGTTCGAACATTTCCGCACACTTCTTAACCTTTATAATACGTAAAAAGCTATTATAAATAACTAAAATAGTTAAAAATAATTAATTTAGGCCATGCCTAAAAAAACTTAATACCTAAAAGTAAATAATAAATAGAACCTAGAGTACGGCCTAGAAGCCTAAAATAAATAAAATAAAAACCTCTTATAGCCTAAAGGCCTAAACTTTTAAAATAACCTTACCCCGTAAAATATACGTATATAAAAATAAAACCCGGGCTTATACTTACTATTTAAACTCTTAGTTTACGAAGTACGTAATTACTAGGAGTATAATATTGCTAAAAAAGAGGGTTAGTACGCGCACTAAAAAACGTATTTTATATATTTCGAAGTTTATAAAACTAAGAGTAATAGGGGTAGCGAGGGGCGTAAAAGCTAAAATAACTATTAAGTTAACGACCTAAAGTATAAAAACGGGTAGCGCAATAAGAAATTAATTATAAATAACTATAATAAGTATAAAAAAAAACCGGGGGCGTAAGTTAAAGAAGTCCTCTATATAAAAGCTAATATAGTTCTTATATAACCTCCGGTTTTTATTTATTTAGTAAACGATACTACGGAGCTTAGTAATATCCTATTAAAACTATAATTAGAAGTGCGCTTCTTAATAATAAAAAAGGATAATATATTTATAAAAAAAGGAGCGCTATTTATAATAGCCTTAGTAAAAGCCTAGGCTATTAGCTATAAGATAACTAGTATATTAATATACCCCTCGGCTAAACGGCTATTAAAATAGTACGTATACCGGCTATTACTTCTTATAAAATAATAACTACTATCCTTAGGGTTAGTATACTAAAGGGCTATTTTAAAATAGGGTAAGTACTAAATCTCCCGTTTTTTAAGAGCCTCTTTTTTAAGCTTTTTAAGGACTAAGTATATATTAAATAAGCTTAAAATAATAAAAAGAACTATACTTATTACGGGGGGTACTTTTATTTCTTAGCGTTCTTTTTTACTTCTTACTACTCTTTTAAAAAGAACTAACTTTACGTTTTTTAGATTTTAAAATAATATTAAATATAAATTCCTAAAATAATAAGTATATGATATACCCTTTTTAGAGGGCTTATTATCTAAACTAGTTTTATTTTTATTTTTAAATTCCGAAGAGGGGATAAGTAAAAACCTATTAGAGCTCTTATTACTATTATTTACTTTATTATTACCCTTATTACGGCTACTAAAAAGAGCCTCGAACTTAATAAAGTCCTCGGTATTTTAATAAATAGCTTTAATATCTTCCTAACTAAAAAAAGAGAGCTTAGTAACCGGGCCCTAGTAAATAAGTAAAAAGTCGCGGGGAGGGGAGACGACTTAGAAGGGCTCGTTAATATTATTACCTATCTAAACTCTTAATAAACTATATAATATGTATATAAAAGGTATTATAAAAATTATATAAAACTTATTATTATTTCTAAATATATTAAATATTTATATTTAAAATAAAATTAGTAAACGATTTAATAATATAGGCGCGCGCGCGTAATAAACGGGGGTATTTATAATAACTATAAAAAATTAAAAAAAAAAAAAAAATAATAGCTAAGTAACGCCGTAAGAATTTAAATATATATAAGGTAGCTAAGTAGCCTCGCCCTTAGTAATTTATATACTAAAAGTAGTATAATACGTACTATTCCGAGTTAAGATTCTATTTATTTTAAATAAAGGGATATATTTATAATAAACGTAGTTTAAAAAACGCATATCCCTTATGCTTATTTTTTTTTTATTTATATTTAACTAAATTAAGCCTTTATAAGGGTATTTAAAAATTCTATTTTAGGTATAATAGCTCCTTAATAGTAATAATTAAGGGGTATATTACGTAATAGGGATAATAATCGTACCTTACGAAGTACCCGTTACGTACTAAATTATATATCTATTTTAAATATCGTATATATAAACCTTTTCTTTTTATTTATTTCTACTTTAATAATTAAGCTACTTTTACTATACTCCGTATGCCTATTACTACGTGCTATAACTCGTGACACAGGACAACGGTCAAACGGCACCTAGCAAGCATGCCAAGCTTAATTTCATCGTGTCTCTCCCTACATGTGGCTAACGAACGTTTTAACGTCGTCGCGGAGCATCCGTAGAGTAACGATCGTCAACGTCAAGGGTTCTTTATGGGGGCGTCTCCCACTAAAATCCCCGAAGCAGAATAGCTGCCCTACCAAGTCAGCTCTGATCGTCAACTTTTCACATTTGACTAGCCGGGGCACGGGAGGCTGTCTGCCGCCATGACGAACTCTCGTCAAGGGTTTGGAAGGATGATTAGGAAATAGAGGCAGCCAAGTGAGAGGCTAATGAGACAAACTAGGAAGCGACCCATGATCTTTCACCTAGAGGGATAATTTCGAGCTGCATTTGGAAACCTTGTGGAGGTTTGCGATCGGCATCTTCGGGGAATTGTTGAGGGTCATGATCCTCTCCATGAGGATGCCATGATAAGTCTTGTTCGTGCATCGACCTCATGTCCTCCAGGTACTTAAGCCTTTGACAACTCCGCCAGAATAGAGACTTTTCTTCATCCAGCTTCAGCATTCTCACTCAGTCACTCTTTTCAGACTCTCCAGCTCTTTCAGCTCTGTCTCTTCGTCATTCTTTAATCCCACTTACACCACACTCTTTAACTAATCCAAACCAACCCCCCCAACCGCAAAAATGAAGTTCCTCAACCTCGGCCTTGTCGCCATCTCCTCCCTCTTCGCCACTTCCCTCGCGGCGCCTGCCCTCCCGGGCCTCCCTACTGATGTCACCGACGTCGCGAAGGTCCCCGTCGTCCACATCCCCGTTGTCCCCGAGACCGACGCCCCCGTCAAGCGCACTGAGGTCGTTTACACCAAGATCCAGTACACCATCGTCGAGGTCAAGAAGCACTGCTCCACCATCAACTCCACCGTCGACGGTGTCACCAAGGGCCAGATCGCCCAGAAGAAGGCCGACATCATCAAGCTCGTCAAGAGCGAGGTCACCATCATCATCAGCCTGATCCACTCCCTCGTCGGCGACATTGTCGAGTGCCTTGGCGAGACTGTCGAGATTGTCGGTGAGGAGAAGGAGAAGATCATCTCCTGCGTCCTTGAGCTCATCTTTGACATCATCTACTGCCTGAAGCATGTCATCAAGGTTCTCGGCTGCAGTAAGTTTACAAAACAATCCGCAACCCTTCAGAGTGACTCCCGCTAACCATTCAATAGGCATCTTCGAGCTCCTCGGCCCCATCATCTTCGTCCTCCTCACCGTTGTCTTCCACCTCCTCTGCTCCCTCAACGGCCTCATCGAGGGTCTCTTGGAGCTCGTCTGCTCCGTCCTTGGCGGTGTCATTGGCCTCCTCCTTGAGGTCCTTGCCGGCCTTCTGCCCATCGTCCTTGGCCTCGTCGGAGGTATTCTCAAGGCCATCAACCTTGGCGGCCTTCTCTGCAGCGTCGGCAGCATCTTCTAAATTTCTGTGCTCACTAGCATTAAAATTTAACTACAAACGCTCTTCGAATGGTTTAGTACAAGGTAGCCGGCGAATATGGATATAGAGCACTCAGGTGCAAACACTTAATACCACCTTTCGAGTAGATATTTCACGTCAAATGTGTTACTTGGAATGGAAAACATATATATTTACAACTTACTCTGCAACGTCTCTTTTTCCGTGATGCTATTAACTTCGTTTCACCGCCAGAGCCGTAAGGTAAAGCCAAATCATTTTAACAGGTAACGTATCAGTTGGCAGCATAAAATCAGGGCGGCAGCTTTGGGTACTGTAGCGGGTCTTAATTATGGTCATCCATGATCTCGTTCGTGACTAGCATTGACTTGTGCATCGAATCCATTGTAGTGGGCTCATCCTGGGATGCCCGGGCAGTTTAAGAAAGATCTGACACAGGCCGCATAGTGTCAGGTATTCAAATGATAGAAGGCGTGTGATCTATTACTGGTCGTTAAGGGATGAAAATCTTCAGTAGTGGACAGGTTGATCACAGGACTCTTCTAAAGAAGCACCAACGGCATTAGACTTGGGTCAGACGTGTAATGTCTGCAAGTCTACGATCTCGAAATGCCAATGTCGCTAGCCAATTCGACACGTACATATATAAAAAGGTTGCCAGAACGAGAGCCATAGCCGCGAGAGGCGCCAAAATTGAAAAGATAGTAAAACCATAAGAGGCCGACTGAAAGGCTGCATTATCAGCAAGATCTGTAGTAGCCAGACCAACTTGCATCGCTGTGAGAACCACAGCGATATAAACTGTTGTTGAGGCGAGCCACGCGAACTGGTCGTGAAAGAAATCCCCATAGCGATTCCACGGAGGCATGTAAGAACTGAAGGAAGCCAGATACTGCAGCTTGTTCAACCGGCTGAGGCGCAGCTCTCCGTAATAGAAGCGCTCATCGATCTGCCCGTAGATGGTCTGCGTACTCAGCTCCGTGGCGAATTCCCTCCAGTCGTCCCATTCAACTTCCTTGGGAATCAAGCGGTTGTCCTTCGCAAGAAAGAAGTCGCTCTCATGGCAGATCAGGGCAGCGTAGGAGAACAGGAACCCCAAGGCACACCTCCAAAGTCTCTGGCGATCGCAGGGTGTCAATGTGGTTCGTGAGCACCGGTGACCTTGGCAAGAAAGATAATGTGTCCAGAAATTGGGTTCCAGCAGAAATCGTGGAATGGGTTTGATGTGGATGAGCCCCGTTGTCCAGACGAGATGGAGATCCATCTGTTCGGCTACGACAATTTCCCGGCCCAGTATCCGTTGATAGTGTAGCGGGCGTGTCGGGGTTGGCCGTCCCGCAAACCATAGCCGCGGGGTCAGTTGGACTAAACGTCCAAGCCCCAGCTCCTTCTCCAGGAACGCGCTGTTGTGTGGTGTCGCAGAAGCGAGGTCAGCATTGTCTGAACCCGTCCGGTAGGAGACTGGAAGGAGTTTTTGCAACTGGTCTGGAGAGGATGCTTTTATCAGAAGCTGGGTTTTGTAGGGAGCAAGCTACAATTTCCATTGCCAGGTCAGTTGCATCCCTCCATTTGGCATCATGAGAAAAGAGTAGTACCTGAGCTTCACCTTCTTCCTTCGTTGACGGCATCTCCATCTGCGTTATCTGTTTGGTAGCGAACACCCGTGATGGCATGTAGTCAACCTGAGAGAGAACAGACGGAAATGAGCGAGCTCTGACGCTGTCGAAGCCGCTTCAAAACGAACCAAGTTGCTGGAGACTATTTTCCCGCGATTAACCTATCATTCCCGTTTTCTCGAGGGTGTAGTGGTCATCTCGACAGATGAAAAGTCTCACATTCCATTGGCCACAGAAGGACCAAGCAGGGTCTCCTGCATTAGCTGATGGGGGTACTACAGGGGCATTCTCGCTTTTGGAAGACCTCATAGGACAGCCTGATCTCATCCGCCTCCCAAAGTCTCGAAGGAGGAATTGTCGCGCGGACTATCATGTGCGGCTGACATCCAATCCATGTACGTACGCAAAGAATTGGAGTGAGAAGGAATGTATCCGCAACCTGAAAGGCTTAGAAAGGACAAATCACATGCTTTGAGGCAGAAAATGAAACCCACCTGTTCGAGGGTCTCGTAATCCGAGTAGTCTTGGTCAACCAAATTTCAACTCCATGCTGCGAAGGACAACTTAGCTCAGCTGCCTGAATATTGTTGTCGTGCTCTGAAAAGGCTTCCTAAAACCTAGTAGAGCCTTCTTGGGTCCGCCCTTACCTTCTCTTGCGTGATATTCAAAATCTCTTCTCGTTCCTCCACTACCATCGATTGACATTCATAGGCAAGATTCAGTATTGGTTTGAGCGGGCATACAGAACCATGTCTGCGAACCCTCAAGTCACACCAAACCCAACTCTGAGGCTGGATATACTCCGAAGCCCACCAGATCCCACTGTTGAGTAAGTCCAGCTAAAAGTCATAAGCAGTACAATTCCGTTGATGCATGCGACAGCATTGTGGCCGTTCATGGCCTCAGTGCGAGCCCAGAGAAGAGTTGGCTCTACGAAAAGGAAGGTTCCAAGAGCTATCATTGGCTGAAAGATGATGATGGGCTTGCCAAAGACTTTCCTAGTGCTCGCATTATGCTCTTCGCATATAGCTCGGCATACGCGAAACGTTTCAAGATGAAGCAGTACATGGTCAACCTAGCAGCCGAGCTTCTCGAGGCCCTGAATTTGAGAAGAGAGGAACAGGTATTCAACCCAACGGGAAAAGAGTCTTTGACAGAATTTCATGCTGGAAAGAATGTAGAAATGCGCCCGGAGACCAGTGGTAATGCTTTGGCATAGCATGGGCGGACTGGTAATTGCGAAAGCATTGTGTCTCGCGGAAAGTGAACGGCTCCACTACCCAGACATGTACGAAAGCATCACAGGCTGCTTTTTCTTTGGAACACCCTTCAACGGTGCGCCTGTGGCAGAAGTAGCCGAACATTGGGCCAAGATGCAAGTCAAAGAAAACACTGGCAAGGCGGTCGACTCGCAGCTCCTGACACTACTCAAGCCTGGAAATGAGAGCTTACGAGAGCTGAAACGTGGTTTTGTGCATTCTGTCGGCAAGCTATCCCAGAAGGTCGAGGTTCACTGCTTCTTTTAAGAACTGAATACAAATTGGACAGAAATCATCCAAAAGCTAACCAGTGAGAATTTTCCCGAAGACATGCTTGACAAGTTGCGGTCAAAGGTTTGCGAACCAAAGCTTCAGACTCGCAAGAACATTGAAGCTAACGTGCCACAGGAATCTGCTGAATTTGTCAGCCGAGACTCAGCAAGTCTTGATTCTTCCACGGAGACAGGCCTCTACAGAGCCCACAGAGATATGGTCAAGTTTGAGTCATTCGAGGATCCCCAATACCAGCGAGTGAGAGGACCACTCAAGAGGATTATTCAGAGTGCTCCGCGAGTTGCCAGAGGGCGATTCAACTGTACCCGCGAAACCGCAATAGACAGCCAAACTTGGAGAAGAGTCATCGAACGCAATCTTGCGTCGCTTGAAGAGAGTCGCAGATGAAGGCGACGAGAGTGCTCGTGAGCTGATTAACGCGGAAAAAGAGAGCCGTTCTGATGAAATGTCTCGAGCTCCGCCGAAGACCTTTGACATTGTCGAGGAGTGGTCCAATTTTCATAGTCGAGGGCATGCTAGAGACAATAATGAAGATGATGCCAGCGCTACCGGTGATGGTGTTGAGAATGGTGCTGAGGATGGTCCTGAAGATGTTGTTGAGGATAGTGCCGAGGATGGTGTCAATGAGGATGCTGAAGCAGTCGCTGAGGATGCCAGTGGAGAAGGGAGTGGAGTTGAGAACAGAAATTATGTTCAATGATGAAGTGACAGAATGCCGCATAATTGTCACATTTATCGAGAGACGGTCACAGGTTTTGTCCGAATTACTGTAGTGGACGGACGTAATGCCGAGAAGAGGCGTTGGGGATACCGAATTTCTATTGATACAATACTAGACCCTCCTCATCTCTTGCCTCCTGCCTCATCTCTTCACTCGAGCAAATACACAGCTCCCAACTGGTGGCATTGGGCTGTCCCCCCACGCCCCAGTAGTAGCACTCGTCAGGATTAGAGTCCACGATCGCGTACTCACGAGCAATTATCCAAGGGTCAAGAAAGGTTGTCGTAGGCTCTTTATCGCGGACCGCCGCATCCTCGCACTCAGAACATGTCCGCGGTAGATCAATGGGCTTCATACCCAAGTCCCTGGCTCTCTTCTCGAGGTATTCAACGTAATAGTTTCGGTTGGGGCTGTCTGGGTATCTCGGGCTTTGCGGAAACCTTGGACTTCGTTCCTCCTTCTGTGTTGCCTGGTTCAGGAGCTCTGAGCATGGCTTTGGCGCAAGTTCATCCCAGAGGTCTCTGTAGTCGCCCGCGATGCACGTCATAGCGACTTGCAAATGCATATCAGGCCGACGGCGGACCAGTTCTTTCAATGTCACCTCGGCAGGGAGCAATGGCCACCATATCAGATGTGGCATAGCGGCTTCAGCCGAGTTGTAGGGTGCGATATGTGACAAATCGTTGACCATGATGAATCGGGCGAGGATGGCTGTCTTGATCGCATAGTCGCCATATTCTATTTTCTGGAGAGACCACCACTTGGCAAAGGTGGTGTTGTGGTAGATGCCGCGGATGACGGCCGCTTGTTCGTCGTGAAGCATCCTCGGCCGGCGGAGGCGTACATAGCGCTCTATGTTGCCCTCATATGCAGCCATGAGGATCAAGGCGTCCTTATTGGCAGTCGGTAAGTGCGAGACAATGGGGGTGTAAAAGAGCGCGATGTGCTCGGGAGCCAGTTCCTCAACGTTGGTTGTCTTTGATGAAGACTCATCAATATTGAAGTCCTCAGTGATGTTGAAGTAATGTTTTCCCCAGTCCTTGTCATCTTTTAGCCCAACTCGAACATCCAAGGAGGACCGGACTGCCGTGTCGCCGTTCATGAAGGCGGGTGACAACGGGTTGTTTGAGTTGCTTGAACGGGTGTAGTCGCTGAGAATGGCGTAACAGACAGGTTGGCGCATGATATTGTCAAATATGATCTTGGATCCTTTTTTCGAGATGTTGTCCCTAGCTTCCTCGGCAACAGAGACTTCGGGGAGAAGACCAAGCTGGCTGTATAGATCGTCGTACCCGGCGACTGCACAGGCCCGCCCAACAAGATATCGCAAATCGGGGTAGTGCGTCGACAATGCTCGGTAGGTATCCTCGCTAGCAATGTCTGGGTACCAAATACAATAAGGCTTCTCATCATCGGACGTCATGTCCGGGATGATGTTACTCATGATCAGTCGGGCGTTGCGGGCACGGGCGAACGACCTATCATCTGAATCCAAGCAGAGCTTGCGGACTGGCTCTGACATGGCAAACGCCTCGTTGTGACGGATGCCATGAATCACGCATGCCGACATCCATGTTCTGTCGAAAGTGGCCGGCAGCCTCGTACCGCGGAGTGCTTGCAGGTGGTCGTCGCCCGGAGGTGGTTGAACGTGAGCTTGGTAACGTAGAAGGGTGTTTCCATCTTCTTGATGATTATTCTTCCCCTCTAAGTATTGAGAGGAAGACGACATCTTTATCGTGAATGAAATGTTATTGTTGAGAGGAGAGACATGTGATAGGCAATGAAATGAAGGGATTGATAAGATGATTGTAATTCTGCTAGCTTTGCGGAGTCAAAATGGCCTCAATGCAGACCCGCTGTGATTGTTCCGTAGCCAGGGTTCAGAAGTCACAACCAACACGAGGTGACCTCGATCAATCCCTGTCGACAACTCAACTCAGCTTTCTCATGCATCCTTATGGACACAGGTGTGGGCAGTTGCCATTCCCCGGCCAGCCAAAGACAGAACCATGGTTCTATTGTTGCCCCACGGAAACTACATCTCACCAAGTCAATCGTACGTCATGTTGTGATTAGACGATTTTATCAGCTGTTGGGTTCAACGTTGAACAATAGAAAAATTCGGAGATCAAATGAGATGTCGGAAGATTGCAGTCAGAAGTCCACTTTTGCATGCAATAAACTGATAAAGACAGTATCAGGGGATTGCCCAATCCAACTACTTTCTCGTACACCAACAGCTACTACAAGCATCAACAGCTCAGCTGGCCCAATTAAGTCATTATCAACCCTTCCAGTCCACATCTTATGGCCGCAGTGCGTGGATCGAGGTTTCCAGATCCACAAGCAAAACTCCCATCGTTGAGTTGAACTCGTTCTTCGGCAAACTTGGCTCTTCCGTTATTGCCTGTGATTTCTATCATCAGTCAAGGTTACGGCTCATATGCGTCGTTTGCCACACAGCATCGTCTCGATCAATATCTAAAACGACGAATCCCTGCCGTTCCCAGAACTTGATCGCTCCCGGCAGGAACGGATGAGTATGAAGATACAACTGTTTCAGGCCTGCTTCTCTCGCCGCCTTCTCCAAAGCCGAAACTAATCGGGATGCCAATCCGCCGCGCCGCCAAGTTGGGACCACAAAAAGCCTCACAACTTCAACCACGCCATCGGGCAGTAGAGTGAGATGAGGAAACCGGTAATCGTAGTGTTGATATCCAACCGTTGCTATAATTCGGTTTTCTGATCTCGCGACGATAAAGGCGCCATCTGGGTGATCGAAAAATATCTTCTGGAACGTTGCGAGATCTTGCTCAGCCTTCATGGCACGCCACTGCTCATCCAGATGCGGGTACATGTCCACGCGTGCTTTCTGGGTGAGTTCCAGGATTTCTGGGATGTCGTCTATCGTTGCTTGCGAAATTTGGATATCCATGATGTTTATCTGGGTGGGCTAATTTTATCGGCTTATCGCGGCTAGTCGAATGAATTGAGGCCAAAGCGGTGATCGGCGGGTTTGCCCGAGGCAATCCGTGGTGGGCGATTTGACAATGGGGTGTTTACGTGTAGGACAACTTTAGAAAGGACATGAATACGGATCAAAGAGGACTACGAATAGATAGGCCTTCTATTGATATTTAAACACAGTGCTTAATAGGTGATTAAGTTTGATAGATTGATTAGATATAGCGAGATCGGCGCCTTCATTATCTCGGCGTGCCCCACAGACTATTCGCTTGACCTCGAATCGCAGGATAAAGGCTGACTAATAATTGCCTCATAAGTTTGCCAAGGCGCAACCAATGTTGTTGAACTAGGTTTCCCTTGCGAAATGCTGATGTTCTCGCAACGAATAATTTCGCGATATTACCCATTGAAGTCTGACAAAGAAGAACAGACCACATCGTTCATACGAGTGTGAACCTGGATGGCTGTACTGACCGTTAAATTTGAATCTATAATCCAGTAATTGTGGCCTACTTGTGATTCACCGTTTCAGCAGACTGTAACGATTTGGAGACAACAGAGCAGCCAATGGCGCCTTCCCACAGTGCCGTGATATCGCAGACTACGTGGAACAGTGTTTAGAGAGCGAAAGCTTTCATGATCGGAATAATAATTAAACACAAGCAATCAGTCCGGGCATATCTTGACTGCTCAGCTTCAATCCATCCTGTCTCGGGGTATATCAAAGTGAACCTATCATCAGATTCAAGAGGCTTGAGCGGAAGTTTTGAACCATCCCCCTAATCAATCTTGGCGTCAAGCCCGAGCTCAATTGAGATTGAGGCTTGCACTCGGTTTGCGTATCAGTTGTTCTTTCGAATGTCACTTAGATGCGATACGAATCAATGACCTGTGAACGGATAACTGTAGTAGCGTAAGCCAAGTAGATTGTAAGTCATAACCATTGATACGGATGGTCGCGAGATGGGAATTCTTCATCCAACCAAGCACCAGCCATTCTATTTGCAAGCCAATTAAGGTTAGTCTACGATATGATATGGAACAGTATGACAATCATGAGTTGACTTTCTAACATTGTGGCTTTGGAGGAAGCAGATTTTGCAAGTACAATTAGCAATGTTGATACACGTTGATCGTATCGAGGTATAACGTACATGGATGAGGTTACGTGCAAGTTGATTGAAGATTGACATCGCCAATTAGGCACACTTTCTGGAAACTTCAAGAATCGAACAAGTCTTCATACCTTGAAATACCCCCTCCATAGCCTTTCTAACAACCTCTCCGGGTCGTAGTGTTCGGAAACATTTTTCAAATGGTCGTGGTTCTCGGATCCATAGCCTCCATAGACATCCTGATGTTTGCCCGCGTAGTTCATGTAAATGTACTTTGCTGCAAGGCCTCTCTCCTCTGCCAGAGCATCAATCTCATCAATCAGCTTCGCGACACTTTCCTCCACAAGGCAATCCAACTTAGACGTCTCCCAGTGCGTGGTGACCTGAATATGGACGAGCGGGCCATCTTCGGGCGCGAGCCCGAGGGCATTGCCGCCATTTTTCTGCATCGACTCGATGATGTTGATTGAGATCGGCTGATACACGAGCAGAGGTGACAGAGTTGTGTTTGTTTTGCCGGCGGCAGCCATGAGATTCTGAGCATGAGCCTGCCACAACGGGATAATGTCCTGAAGGAACTGGGC